ATAAACCTGATTTGCAGGTGAGATTCGTAATTGTAATAAAAGTAATCAGATGTCACTATCAACATTACTGTTCTATGTTACTAAGACTTGTGAAATTAGTATTCATGTTAAGTGGACATAATCTGATGTCACTATCAACATTACTGTTCTATGTTACTAAGACTTGTGAAATTAGTATTCATGTTAAGTGGACATAATCTGATGTCACTATCAACATTACTGTTCTATGTTACTAAGACTTGTGAAATTAGTATTCATGTGAAGTGGACATAATCTGATGTCACTTTAATCTTTACATTCAACCATGAAACGAAATTCACCCTTTATACAATTATTCACATTGGAGCATATCCTGTAATGGCACCAGCGGTATGGCTATATCAAAGTTGTTTGTAGACTATTGTCTACGATGATTTCATTACAATTACATAATTACGTTACCTATTGTAAAGGATTTTCTCCTCTTTCTTGTTAGCCTATTGCCAGGTTCACTGTCGCCCTCAAGGTGTCTTCTCGCCATGTCTGCGTGCGTAGTACCCGTATCTCAGAAAAATTAACAACACCAGTCGCAATGTAAAGGATTTAATTACATAATGTACATTAAACAAACCTACAAACACACTACATTACCAATGGGAGCACAGCATGGGGGATCTGTCGTTGCTAGCAGACAACTGGGGTTACTCCGGCGTCAACAACAGTTATTTCTAACAAAACTGTGGGAAACACAATGAGGAGGAACCTCATCGCTCTACATTCGCCTGCCCCACAGTACGTCCCTTTGAGCCATGGCTACCCTCTGTCATTTTCCCGGCGTCAGCGCCGACCCCCTTACTTCTATCCTACAGCCGCCCTAGACTTCTGGCGAGGTACGCTTTTCCTCACTGACTTACACTACATCATTGTTCATCATCTGGAACATCCGGTCAATCCGACTCCAGCGGAGAGAGAAAAGAAACTATACATTTGATGATGATGATGATGATGATGATGATATGAAGGTTTATCGTCGCCAGGACTCTTCCCTTTGCCTGGACGCTTTACAACAGAGATTCTCTCCAATACATCAGACCGAATTATACCGTACTCAGCTTAAATTTCGTTGCGAAATCCCCGGTGACAGTTCAGTTGGCACATGGCATTTCAAGGCTAAGTTGGCATATCGCGGCGCGACGCCAGAAATTTGGCAAATCTTGGCGAAAGATTTCTTAGACGCGTTAACAAGTTCCGAGTTACGTATATGTGTTCAGCAGAGCAGACTGGCTGATTAAAATGACAGCAACAAAACAGCAGTAAACAAAGGCAAAAGTGATTTTTTTGGTCATCGTTACATATTTTGAAAAAAAAAATATAAAAATGCAATTGTGTAAGCGAAAAATGTAAATTTTGCAAACAGAAAATATAATAACTGAAAGCAATGTATTAGTTTTTTGCTTTTTTTTGTCAGAAAAATAGTAATACTTCGGTGTTGGAACTTCCTTAGCAACCCCTTGTTCCTTCTATAGTAACATCTATTCCTTATATGTAGATCAAAAGTAGCATATCACTATGATTGGCTAGTTTTTTCCCTTGAACCAATTACCAATTAAATTAAATTGCCATGACATGTTCCACGGGTGAAGTGAGCGAAAGTGGTCGTAACTCCTAGAGTTATTATTAAAGAAGATGGCCCAGTTTTTCTAAGAGTAATGAGGAGTGAAATATAGCGGGGAAAAAATGAATGGCATTTTGGGTGAGATAAAATGTAGACAAAGGGTCAGTGGTGTGATATATACAAGATGTTGTGTTGCAATTTGCTAATTGTCAAGAAACCCGTATGAGTTCACCAACAGAGCCGTTGGTAACGCAGGAAGTGCCGTCTCGGCCGTGGTTAAAATTTGGCGTGATTTGTGATATTTATCAGATGCTAGTCTAATATTACTTAGAATTCTTTGAACAAATCAACTTAACTGTACTGGATGTGAAATGGTGATAACTCACTGTAAATCACAATTAGCCATATATGGTATTTCAGATCTCCTAGTTACTGATAATAGCCCACAATTTGATTGTCAAGAATTCTAAACTTTGCATGAAGAGTCTAAATTCAACAACGGACCCATGTGCCATGTTTCCGATGTCCATTGTTATGGTTGGAAACGACCCAAAGTAACACGAAACAGCATTTTAGCAATCAATACTTAGCGTTGCTAAACAGAAATAGAAACAGACCACGAGATTCAGACCTAGGATCACCGACACAAAGGTTGAATGATGGCAAGTCGAAAAAGGACACGATTACCTATTTCTAAACAGTTGTTGAAACCAAAACCGGAAATCGGTTCACTTCAAAACAACAAACACCAGAACGATGATGTAAGGGAGATAACTCCTTTTAAAATAGCACAAAATGTGAGTCCGAATTAAACCTGGTTATACTCCCTGTGGAAACCTGGACGTGTAGCCATGAACAATTCTAATCCGCGATCATCTATCGAGTAATCGAATGGTAAGACATATTACGTAGGGATTACTGACCAAAAATGCCCAGTGCCTTATCAGATCTGGTCCTCAAGGGGAAATTTGGAATTAATTTGGCACACACGTGATGAACCGATTCCAAGAGACGCTAGTCAGAATTAGGAAGTGAGTACAATAATTCACAACCAAATATACTTCTAGGAAATACAATAGAAAGACATAGATCAACACCAGTCACGGGATTAATGCTTGGACCAAATAGCTGACAGTTTAACAAGTCAAAACATTGACCTCAGGTCGTACAGACTTTATTCCAGTTAATGTCAACACGTGCAACATTTGTACCTTTGTTCATTGTCTCCCAGTATTTATAGGTAATGTGACCGGATACTATCACTCTCGTTACAGCATTTGCTGAATAAGAGAAATTGTATTTAAAACCTCCAATTAAAGCTATACACCGGTCTATTAGCATGTCTAAATTGTTTTTGAAAAGTGGAGGAGACATTTATCATCTGCTTGCATAGGACACATGAAATTAATATCATAGATAATAAGCCAGTGTGGAAAATTGTCATTAATCAGATCGTGATATAAACTGAATACAATCAAGGGCAGATAAATTTCCCTCGACGGGTACCCTGGTATATCCTGAATGTATTTGACACGAATCTTTGATGCATAGCAACACTTAACATATCTTTGTATAAAGAAATAATAACACTGACAAATTCCATGTCAAACTCCAATTGTGATAGTTGTTATGTGTTGTTATGGATTCACATGAAAAAAGAATTGATGACCCTAAACATGTTAAAGGCACACATTTCTTTTAACTCTAGGTTTAGCAGAAGCAAAATGGAGCACTTTTTGGTCTATTATGGTCTTTTTAACATCGGGCTAGATTCTCTCAGCAAGCCTTGTGTTTAACAAATTAATAATCTTTCCTCACGAGTTGAGATATACCTATCTTACACTAAAGGGAATGAAAGATTCCATTAATCTCCGGTATTACCTTGGAAACAGGAATATTCATGTTAGCGTAAACACCGTTATACCAAGGACAATCTTAACGGTTATTGATTCTCTTTACCTCACACAGGCGTATAGACGTTTTACAAGCTTGAGATTTTCTTGTCTTATTTCAAAACAGGGGAATTCCGCTGTCTATTCTATGATGTCACTTCAATGTTTTGATGAGTTTTCTGTATCTCACCTTTCATAGGGTGAAAGATTCAATTAGTCTACCAATGTGAAGTTATCTCCCCTACTTTTGTAAATATCTTCATGAATGACCAACGAATCCAACGGCGAAGACAACATTCACATCAAAACAGCAAATATAGCAGAACTTGCAATTGTTACCAATATTTGGAGCACAAGTAATTAAAACAAGTTAGGAATCATAGATATGATATTCATGAAAAGTTAATTGCAGGTGTAATTAAACTTTAAGGATGTCAACAAAATTCATTTTTGTAATGTTTCACTTATGGTGATTCCCTTTCTGGGGCCAAATTGTCTCTGTGTGTGCACAGATCAAAAAGTACTTTTTTAAACGAAAAAATATAAATCTTCAAATTTTATTATTCTTTGTCACTGAAACAACAATAGAATTATCTAGAAAGTGAAGTGTATGGTTTTCATGCAGCCTTATCAATAGAATTATCATTTATATTCAAAGTTGAGTAAGTATTTTTTAGTATTGAAAATAATACTCTGAATAGGTGTTTAAAACGAGATTGGATGTTTGTCATAAAATATAGACAATTCACAAGAATCATTAAGTATCTAACTTCTTCCGTAAGAAAAGACGTTTTCAAAATTTAACGTGTGACATTTTGTTCGTTTCATGAATGTAGTCCATTGTGCTGTGTGTTTAATTAGACTGAAGGAAAGAAAACGTGTTAGAGGTAAAAATTCCATAGTGAGCCCACCGCGAAAAACATTGTATACATCTAAAATACCGATAAACAATTTACAGACCTCTCAGGTATTGTCTGATGATTACGACTCATTATATGGTCCAAAAAAGGCTGATACTTTTGCTCCACGTGGGTAGTTAACATTCCAAAGCTTGCGACGTTCATTGTACCAGCATCTAGTATCACACTCAGTGTCGGTGCCCGCTTATTCACACCATTCATAGTCAGTTATGCAAACCGACAAGTATGAACCCTATAGTAATTCGGACAACACGGATTGACTGACCATCACTGCCTCCATTTCATCTGTTTCCATAGTAATTGCCACCGCTTGCGCCCTTGTCGTGATGGTAAACCGGAGAAAACGATCAATCCATACTTGTAAATGATACTTATAAAAGATGATTAATGAAAGAAAAGTAGACTTCATACCAGCAGCGTTTGTGATAAATTTCTGCGTTTTAAGGCCCTTGAACAGATAACGTGAATTGTAGTGAAAGATCCGAGATTTTATGGGCGTAACAGAATTTGTTATTATAAGATAAGTGACGAAATCAAATTGTATTGCTTCAACTTAAGATGATAAATGCAGTTGCTGAAATATGCGAACACACATTTTCTATTGGGAACAATTTATTATAGAAAAAGCGTTTACAAAATAGTCATTCAATCAAAAATCATTATATATAAAGACATCCTTGGCTATACAAACAAAACGTCAATATTTATAGTACAGTACAGAACAGAACACAATCAGCAATCACGTAAGACAACGAATTCTTCATCACAGATGTTTTTGAAAATAAGGGGGCAAATCAATGCGAGAGACAGCTTCCGGAATCCGCTCGACTCTTTGTGTAACCTGTTATGCTCGGATTTCTTGAATCAATAATTAACTGACTTTGTTAAATATAAGGAATAGGACTGTGCACAACGAGATGGAGAATCATTCTAAAATGATACGTCTGTGTGTTTTTAAAGAATCGACTTTCAATTGAAGGGATGTCTCACAGATGTAATAATTTATATCTAATAGATGAAATTCCATTTCATGGTTTTTATGGTAAAATAAAACTATCTTTGTCATTTATGTGTTTTACTGGATGTCATGAGGAGATAAGTTCAATACATTTGACAGATAAGAAAAAGATCATGGAATATAGGGTATGAAGTTTTTAAACTATTGCCTAAATTGTGTTATACTATTAATAAGAATTTCAAAATATTTAGTATAATAACCATAACCATCTTGCTTGCCATTGTCCCAATCTATATTATACACACCTCATTCCATTACATCGGTCCAGCATGTATTTCATCAGATAGGTCATTCAGTCAATCACGTGATAATTGCATTTATAACACTATATATATATATATATATATATATATGTATATATAAATATATACATACATATGTATATATCATCTTCTAAAGTTATGAGACAGAAAAATTAATACATAGCGCTTTAATGTTGTAATATTGACAAATTATCAATAAAAATTACCACAAGAAAAAGGCGGATGATGGCTGTAAAATTCCAGAATTTAACTGTCACTTTCTCTTTTTTGTAATTTTTTTTAAGAAGATTTCATCACTTAAATGTCAGTACAAGCACGGTTAGAAAAGCCTGATGAACTAGTAAACATTTTAAAGAAATGTCTAGCTAAGAACAAATGCACACGAAAATGACTAAAGTGATACATTGTCAATATGGAATTCCCAAAATTTTGGAATTGAAAAAAAAAAAAGAAAACATGTATATGACATGAAATCAAATAAATAAACAACTTATAATGACACCGGTTTCACTTAATCATAATTACGTTATTAAAACCATAACTATTAAGAATTTGTTTACTGCATACTACACGGGTTCGGGCTAACAGGTAGTAAACAAATCCGTGTGGTGAAAAGTACCATACCGAAGTTCACCAGGATCCTGTCTTTGATCTAACAATCATGTACTTTACAACGTAAATATGTCACATTCACAAAGCCTTTCTAGATGTTCAACCTCTATAGCTAAGAACCACTATTTCATATCATAATGTGCTTCTTATCTCTCTTTTCTTCATTTGTAGTTTACGACCTCCCGTTTGATGGTTCTTAACAGTGGTGCCTCGAAAGCTCGGATATACAATGAATAAACATCGTTTACAAGACAGGTATTTGTCCTTGTCAATGCGTATTATGGTATCTGTACATATTTATATTGTAGTTACAAAATCCAAGGTACATAGTTATTGATTAATCTCCATTATTTCTGTGGCCTGCTCTATCCGGCAGACCTTCGTCATTACAGTGGAATGTTAGGGCACTTCCAGAAAAAATCTCCCTTTTTTTGTTTGTTTTCATAATGGACATTTACAATGTTATAAGTGGTTTCTTGATTGCACACAATCATATAAATATGTTATAAAACTTACCATTAGTATTTTCAATTTGTCACATGACTAAACGATTAAGTCATGTGACACAAATATATTTATCACATTAATGTTAGTCTATTACCATGGTAATTGTCATTTGGGCTATTCTTTATCATAAAAACATCCATTTTAAATGGAAAACCATGCTTAACATTATCGAAATTATCAAACAGTTCGTTTTTCCTGACACAATGTTTGCATCATTAGTTCCAGAGTTGTCATCCCGATTGTAAACTGGCATTTTTTGTCCACATGCGGGTGGGCGAGATCCTAGAAGGATTGTTTCTAGGAAAAAAGCAGCCTCGTTTCCGCAATGCAGATCCACAGTGCCGGTTAAACATGTAGCCGCCTCATCCAAATATCTAAACATCAGTAAAAGTAAATTGTATTTTAGATAAACATTGGATGAGAGGATGTGTAGGTGTTTCGCTTACATTCCAGACGAGACAATAAACTGATGTAACTTGCAAGAATTATCGCCCTTTGTACATAAGTATATTAACAAATCTTTAATTTATATTCGTTTTTGAACTTAATGTGCATATCAAAATTGCTCCAAATTAACAGACTCAGATGATCTACAGCAACCAGCTGATTTACCCACGGTGACAATCATTTATCCACAGCGACACCGTGTAATTTATCCTAAGCGACCCTGTCATTTACCCGTAGACATTTTAAAGGAAAGCAGAATTAATAAAACAGAAGTGGAGATAAATTAAATTTGAATAGTGTGTAAAAACAGCGTTAAATAATCAAGATATGTAAATATACTTACGTGCATGTGGCCATAATGAGGACATCGATGGGAGCATTCGCCGAGATCTTTAACTGGTAATTCTCCTTTGCCTCCGAACTACACTCAATAGCGACTGCATGCTGGTCCATTATGCACTTTGTATGTTTCTCATAAACTGTCAACAACATAGTCTCGGTAAAGTACATTTAATTCTAAAAATAACTTCTTGTAGCTCACACATTTCTTAAAATTTCAGACCATCTAAATAATTTGTTATGTTAATGAAATTATCGTAGAAATATTGTTTGTTTTGTTTCCAAAAGCAATGTAAGGACATAGTTGATATTTTTCTGAGGTTGAACTTTCTTTCTGGTGATGACTGTTTGAGAATAATTCAGGAGCTCACAATTTAATCTGTCTCTATTTTTGCCTCTCTACTAATGTCGAAATATCTATAATAAGAATTAGTAGTTTTCACCAACTACTCTTTAGCATTTCAGGAATAACTGGTCTTTTTCAACACAGTTCCCCTTTTCTTTGAAATGTAACATAATAATACTATGACAACAAAATGAATTATATAAAATCTTTTTTCTTTTGATTTTACGAGTTCAAAAATGCACAGCGAAGAATGAAAGAATCGAGAAATATGTGTTTGATTCTTAAAACGGACAGTATTCTGAAACCAACTTGTTCAAAATTTTAATACATATTTTTTCATGATTAAAAACAGGAGGTTTCTGTACTTTTTTCCAATGCTAATCTCCCAAAAAATGTTGTTTCAAGACCACAACTAACCCGAAATATGTTTATTATAGGTTCTTAAAATCAAGGAAAGTGATTTATCAAATCAGGATTCACATACTTCAAATTAGCGAAATGTGGTGATAACTGACGCAAGATTTGTTAAAGTCTACCTTAAACTTCTACAGTTACTTAGAAGCACCTAGCAACGGAAAAAACATTGAATCACGACGTCAGCTACTCCATCATGAAATGGATTTCAAAAACAAAATTTTTACAAAAAATATATCAAGCATTCTATTTTAGCTTATAAGTATCAATTGATAACAAGGTATTCGAAAACACAAGTCTACATATTACGATATTATTACTAAATGAGTTATGGCCTACTACTGGTCAGAACTTAGTCATATGTCTGTAAACCATTTGTTTTATTAACAGACAACACCATGGCCTGTTGCGTACTACACTAGCACTTATGTAGGAAAGACCAATAGGATATGTCCCTAACTTGAGGGTAGGACACAGAAATCACTTACTGTTGAGGTTATCACAGAAGAAGCGAACAGTGTTGACAATCTCGTCCTTGTCAAACAATCGCTGTAAGAGTTGTTCCTCTTCAGTTATTCCTCGACATCTATCAAGGATATTCTGCATACACTCCGCGGCCACCACCAGCTTGGAGCTCCTATCGGAATTAAATGTGAGAAAATGTAATATCATACCGTGGGTTATGATCGGTATGGAAATTATTTCTGAAAGCTGACTAATGACTTCAGAACTGATAGAGATATAGTTCATAGCAATGACTAACGAATGACGGGAAATCATTATGAATGACGGGGTATATATTAGTGACCAAAATGCAAAGCAGGTTAATGAACAATAGGAAATAATTAGTTAACAATAGGGAATACTAGTTAACAATAGGGAATACTAGTTAACAATATGGAATACTAGTTAACAATAGGGAATACTAGTTAACAATATGGAATACTAGTTAACAATAGGGAATACAAGTTACAATAGTGAATACTAGTTAACAATATGGAATACTAGTTAACAATAAGGAATACTAGTTAACAATAGGGAATACTAGTAAACAATAGGGAATACTAGTTAACAATATGGAATACTAGTTAACAATAGGGAATACTAGTTAACAATAGGGAATACTAGTTGACAATAGGGAATACTAGTTGACAAAAGGAAATACTAGTTAACAACAGGGAAAATAGTTGAAAAATATCGACAATTTTCTCGTGACCTATGATGTGCTAGACACAATATTTGCGTCTGTTGACTATTGCCCGATGACCTATTAATGGAATGACCGGACATGATAGAATAATTCTGACTGATGACATGTGAACTAATGAAAAATAAGGGGACTATAACTGACAGGTGGTTTATAAACTAGTGAATGACTTGCTGGGGTAATAAAACATAAAGCCAGGGGAAGAGATTTTCAAATTTGACATTTTCAAAAATACACCTTACCCTACATATACAATTAAAATGTCTTCCAGACCTTTACAATTGTTGGCGTTTCAAGCTTTAAATGACACCAACAACGACAACCACAGTATCGGAGATAAAGACGAAATAGTTCATTACAAGGGATGATTTAATTTGCAAAGCCAATGCAAAAGTATATTACTCTGTCTTAAAACGACTATAATGTTTAAAAAAACGCTACGAGAAAAAGATATAAAACGTTCTATTTTCCAATAGTATGTTACAAAACTAAGACTTTCTGTTAATTACTAAAATTAAAAGTCACTTCAACCATTTTTTATTGATATATAAAAAATAAAGAATGTAAACATTGCGGTCCTGATCTAATTCATACATTACCGCTCGAAAGCTGATCCTGCGCATGTGTATAAGCATAGAAAGAAACAATATGGCAGACGCAAATTCGAAAAGGCGACGCGGACCTAAAAGTTACCTTACAGAAAGTACCAGAAAGTAACAGGAAGGAGTCAGACCAGAAAAGAGGACAGGCAAGAATTTATATTAGACAGGATATCGATAGATGGGGAAAGATGAAGGAGGATCTTGGACTGAATACAGATTCGGAATTCGCTTGAATTTACAAGGGTTTGTTGTTGACTGCAAGGTGGGGCCAAGTTGGGGGTATTCGTTCTAAGTTTTAAAAAATATGACGGTACTGGTGTTACTGTAAGAATAACAACTGTGATGTTAAACATAGCCTTCATAATAAACAGTGCAATATATATTAATGTTTACAGACAAAGTATCAATTCCTGTGCATTTCTGCACAATGAGTTTTTTTTTCTTTTCTGATTGTATATACCCCTTTGGGGCCCCACTAGTTTGACATGGATAATCTCGCACGACATAGCCAAAACAAAACGAATTACCAAGATTTATTGTTAAAAAGTATATTTTGTAACACTATAGAACCATTTACTGCAAACAAGAAGTAGCAGAAAGGCGCAAAAGCAAGTTCCATACATAAGACGTGCGTTTGTTTACCTCGTAATCTATTTTTTCTTTGCGGCGGAGGTAAATGACTTCGTCACGTGACAAGCCATGTGACCTACTCTGCTTTCTTCGTAACAAACCGAGAGTAAACATGTTTATAAACAATAGTCAAGTTAAACAATGTTACGACGCCGAAAATATGTACAAAACAACAAATTTGACGTTATAGGCGCATGTATCACTTTTTTATGGATATACATCATTATTCATAAGCCGAATTCTCCATTTCCCGATGTTGAAATCTGAAGTAATAGCCGCTTTAACATCAACAAATAACTGACAATATTAACTGGAGTCGGAGTAAATCAACAACGTCGCCTCGCTACTACTGACTCGTAACGTCCGGAAATTGGTTTTGATACTTCCGTTCATGATTTAGTTTAATCAAAGACAACGTAGTAATATAGAACGATAACCCGACACAAACTTCCATTTTGTAGAATTTGATGGATGTCGCAATGGACCTTGATGAGTTGAAACAGCAGGCGTATGGATCCGTTTAATGGAGTTTACCTATGCTGTTTGAGGTGAAGTTTAATGGTTTCGCTGTTCACTTCTTAACTTAATGTCAATGAACAACTGTTACGAGACTGATGTGAAGACATGTTTTTAGTTGATCAAAAGGACTTCACTGACGTTCCTCCTTTTAGCGATTTCAGTGTGTAATATGGCTGATTTATCACATGTTTCTCTCATCATGACACTGTGATATCTTTGATTCCAAGCTCTAAACACTGCCACATGCTTTCGGGGTTTCTCCGTTAACACAGGAATCTTGTGTGGCTTCCGTTCATTAATACATGAATACATTCACTTTTATTGAAGAGCTCAGTTATTATCGGTATACAGGACATCGACATTTACAGACGGAATGTTGTGTTTTTGATTCCAAAATGCCAACGATCGACATCGTGTATGCTTCCCGCCATCAAAGCGCGTGACATTCCAACAGAGGCGTAGCATCTAGAGTAGCAGTCAATGTAGCAATATTCGGGTCAAAGGTCATTGACGATTACGACCTTGAGAAATAGATAGTCACATCTTTCTACCAATGGCAGATTGCCATTATAGTTCTAATTTACACAAGTCACGTATAGCGTTTGATGTCGTTTATCTTAAACACGTGTATTCGGGCATCTTAACCAACGTGTTTATAATCCTATGTGATTTCTGAGTCTTATTGCCATTAGAAAGCAGGTAGTGCTTTCTATTAGCTAAAACGTGAAAGAACATGTTCTAAAACGACACTGAAATATCGACATGATATGGGAACCCTATTTAAATGGCATAATCAATTAAATGAATGCAAGATATACACTGGGATCAATGAAAAGGCACGACAATAACAAGACCAGGTGTCTCTGATAGTTCGGTATTACCGTTGGGTTATCTATTTCAGTTTCGTGATTCACTTATCACTAACATGCATATTATCTTTACATTGTAAAACTTCGCATAAACAAGTCCACTCTACCCTCAACCGATTCTCCACTTTTATACTAGTCAATCCTCTGTTGGTTTAGAACATCGATTATGATAAGGAAACTCGTATTTAAATTACTTATCACAGTATTAAAAAAACAATAACTGAATTTCATGCGAAAACAATCGATATCTTTATCGTATGTAACACATATGCTGAGACGAAACGAAAGTTAGTTACAACACTTTCTTTTGTAAGTAAGAATGAAAATACAGAAAATACAGCTTGTGTAGACAATCAGACATGATCAGTGATTATTGTCACTTTGTGTCTAGCCCTTGCCTGTCCATTGTTCACGCTTCCGCCGAGGTGTGAAAACTGCCATGGGACACAGGTAAAATTTTTGACTTCGATGCATGTGTTGTGATTTCTTATGGTTTCTTAACCATGGGACCGGGAAAAAAGTTCGAATTAGCGAGAACTTCGATTCATAAAAGTTCGAGTCATAAATGTGAAATTAGTAGTATTATGTAGGGGAAAAAAATCGGGACTTGGCAAAAAGTTCGACACATCGAGAAATTCGACTCATCGAAGTTCGACTCATCGAAGTTTTACTGTATGATGAAATAAAGTATTGACACTACGAGGAAAAAGAAACGCAACTTCAACTTTACGGTTTAATAAAATAATATTTATGAGCAATACACATAAATGTGAAATGCAATAGTTAACTTCGAATATTGGACCATCCGTACTGAAATGTTCAGAGATTTTTAACAAATAAGTACTTCATTAGCCGGTCATGAATTGTGGCATCCTAATTTACACGAAATAATGACAGTTGTCGGACCGATCCTTAACATCGTGTATGCCCTCTCCGAACTGCTATAGCGTCTCTAGTGCTACCTATGTGTTATTCTATTCCTCGATAAGTGCGTTGGCCAATTGGCGGTGCTTATTTGGGATGTTTGCTTGATAAGTGTGCCAATTAGGGACAAATCGGGGCTATATGGGGACCAAGCAATAGGAACTATGTTCTTGGTCGCAAGAAAGTCCATTCAAAATCTTTCAACGTGCTGGATCTCATCTCGATAGTGGACAGCCGTAAATTCCGGTTCACGATAAAAAAAGTTGTCTTCAAATTATGAGAAACCTCCCAAAACAATAACCGATCCACCCCAAAATCTACCGTAACCGATCCACCCCCTAATCTGCCGTAACCGAGCCACCGCCAAATCTGTCGTAACCGATCAACCCTAAAATCTGTCGTAAACCAATCCAACCCCAAACCTGTCGTAACCGATCCACAGCCAAATCTGTCGTATCTGTCGTAACCGATCCACCCCCAAATCTGCCATAACCGAGCGACCCCCAAATCCGTCGTAACCGATCCACCCCCAAATCTGCCATAACCGATCGACCCCCAAATCCGTCGTAACCGATCCACCCCCAAATCTGCCATAACCGATCGACCCCCAAATCCGTCGTAACCGATCCATCCCCAAATCTGTCCAAATTTGTCGTAACCTATCCACTGCAAAATCTGTCGTAACCGATCCATCCCCAAATCTGTCGTAACCGATCCACCCCCAAATCTGTCCAAATCTGTCGTAACCGATCCATCCCCAAATCTGTCGTAACCGATCCACCCCCAAATCTGTCCAAATCTGTCGTAACCGATCCACCGCCAAATCTGCCGTAACCGATCCACACTCAAATCTGTCGTAACCGATCCACCCCGAAATCTGTCGTAACCGATCCACCCCCAAATCTGTCGTAACCGATCCATTGCCAAATCTGTCGTAACCGATCCACCACCAAATCTGTCAAAATCTGTCGTAACCGACCCATCCCCAAATCTGTCGTAACCGATCTACCCCCAAATCTGTCGTAACCGATCCATTGCCAAATCTGTCGTAACCGGTCCACCCCCAAATCTGACTTAACCATTCCACAGCCATATCTGTCCAAATCTGTCGTAACCTGTCCCCAGCCAAATCTGTCCAAATCTGTCGTTACCGATCCACAGCCAAATCTTTCGTAACCGATCCACCACCAAATCTGTCGTGCTCCAAAACACAAGCGTCTGCAAGACCTTGACGCCAGTGCACACGTTCACGACCATCTAATCGAAATAACGTGAAGCGTGCTTCATCCGTGAAGAGCATGGACCTCAAACATCTGGGCTTATGTGTTGTCAACCATTACATACGACAAGCTCGACGTTGTGGTGTCAGTAGCAAACCCACAAACCGGCTATTACAGTCTATTTCCAAGTTTTTTGGTGGATTCGACGGTTACAATAACAAATAATATTTCTTGTCGTTAATCTCCTATCATGCAAGTAGGCAAGCCTAAATACCGATCTTGACGTCGCGACGTTACATGTGGACGTCCAGATCTCTCATCAACTTTTCCCGTAGCATTGAGATGTAAAAAAAAAAAAAAACCTATAGCCAATTTGTGAACTCCGAAGTGAGTAGCGCCCTACTGTTGAGTGCTGCCTCCATGAGCCTTGCGAGAGCCCGTCCTTTATCAAGTTGGAATAGCCGTGGCATATTTGTATTGCCAATCACGCGTCTTGGTGATAGTCAGAAATCGAAAATAGTTTGAATGGAAAAGAACGCATGTATTTGTAAAGTCACCTTATCTTGGTAATTCAGGCGCACGGGATGCGGATTCTCTTTTTTATCACGGATTACAGATTTTAAACATTTGGGATATTCCTCTTACTTTTTATACAGCTATGTATATTCAATACAAAATATCATACGATTAAATGAGTTTTGTATCCTTTCAGTATATTTCTTTTTTAGGACTCATTGGAGTAAGGGAACACGGGGATCGGATTTCTTTAGGACATGACGGTTGGGGACAAAGAAACATTTGGAAAAAAAAATAAAGAAAGCGTAAGTGAATTATTAAAATTATGGACTATAGGAAAGAGGATATAAACAATGCAGATATTAAAAATATTCATCAAACAAATGACTTAACGTTAGTAACTTTCTAAACAAATTCTTTATTTTATGTTAACAATATGAAAAGCAGCTGGTAGACATTCGCCTACATTATTTGTACGGATACGTAAGATGAGCCGCACGAGTCATTTTAAAATGGATTTCAACACACTTTTTTTAACATCCAAGAAACGGCAATATTACTTACTCACACGACTCTCTCATCATATCAATTCCCTGTCTGATGGCGTTTGGAGGTTCCCTAGCAGGAGGACCCAGTCCAAAGTTCGGCAAGGAAGCAAGACTACAATGCCTCATGTGCTGGACGGCATTCTGTGGACAATTTGATGATCTTACATCAAAAAATACTGAAACACACAAAAAGAGTTTTTCTATTATTTTTCTGCATGTTGCCCGCACGCCCTCCCCGGACAGTACAAGTATCACCCTTGTAACACGTTCTTGCTTTTTTTCGCGAATCATCTCCCTAACTACCCTAGTATAAAGTCCGTGAAATCTTTCCGTTATCAAAAGTGATTAGTATTATAAATATCCTCTAGATATCAAACAAACATGGCGTTGTAAGTATCTATTGGTATCTCCCTCACTACCCTAGTATAAAGTCCGTGAAATCTTTCCGTTATTAAAAGTGATTAGTATTATAAATATCCTCTAGATATCAAACAAACATGGTGTTAAAAGTATCTATTGGTATCTCCCTCAGTCCGTGAAATCTTTCCGTTATTAAAAGTGATTAGTATTATAAATATTGGCTAACTATCAAAAATTGAACAAGCATTAAACTTCTTTTATCTCACGTGGCCTTCAGCTGTGATTTCCTTTCATATTCTATTATTTTTGTGTCTTTTTGTGGTGGAAAAATAAACCGACACATGCACGTTTACATTTACTCTAAATAAAGCAAGTCTCCTCAGCTCTAACGAATGTCATATCAAAATATTTTCAGAAATATCCCTATAACTGCAGCAGACTTATTTGTTGCTGATATTGAGGTACACATGGGAACCTGCTGGGTGAAAGAACACCGACTCAAAAACACACCTTTATCAATTTAAATATTCGTGTATAATATTGATGTTTGATGCTGGTTATCTAACCAGTCCTCCATTCACCACAATCTTTTAATCATGCAGGATTTCCGTATCTTTCCCGACATTACTCACTCCCACACTTCATCCCCATGCTTTGTCTTTGTAGATTGCAAATCACAGGTCAGGGTTTTTACGTTTCATTTTTACCCACACCCATCTATATTACGTCCGTCTGCAGCAATTGTCACGAATTAGTCTGTGTTTCGACCTTCCACAGCTTCAAACCATAGGTCATGGTTTCGTCTCTATCAGGACCTACATACCGCTGTTTGATTGCTGTCAGGCATGATTCATGCCAAGCGATTTGATTATCATACCGACACATCATTCCACAAAACAGACTTAGTGGGATAACTTAGCTGGAGACTATCTTTTTCTGTTAGAGTCCAGAGAAAGCATTGAAAAGCTGGAAACGATCACGATATTTAAACGTATCATTGTTTGATATACATCTTTTCTGTAGTTGGTCATTAGTTGTTTAAGTAAGAATATCAAACTTGAAACGGTCATGTCTTTTCCAACTGGAGCCAAGTTTAGAATTTATTGAACGTTTTATCAATTTAACATTCAAGTTCTACTGAAGTTATAGAAGTCATTAATGCTTTTCATATCTATATCTGGATAGTGTTTACATAAATACCTTAATTATTTACAACATCTATTGCTAATTAAATCCATAGGCTCCCTTCGGGCAAAACCAACGTAAATGTAAAATTCGACTGCCACTATAATATATCAATTCCGGAATTCAGATTGTGAAAGTTTAGTGTACCCAATATCAATTTTAATCATGTTTGTAATATGTAGACGTGGTTCTTTACTTGTATCTATATCCAGTGATGATATTAGTGGCCCAATCGGATGATACCTGAAAGGGTACTTTGGAACTACATGTATGTTTTATAACGACAAACTATTTAAAAAGTTAATTTTAGAGATGACAATAGATTGCCATGTTACCTTAAATTTAAGTTGAGTAGTAGCACGTTGTCAGGAAACAAAGATAATGGTAGCGAGCACATTAAACTTCACCTCTAGATAACAATGGCGTGAAAGAGCACCGCCCAGAGAATAAAACTCAGATCACTCACTATTAACACCTTATCATACTGATTATACGAGAGGGGCTCTTCTAGATCTCAGAACTTCATCCTCCCGTAATTATCACCAGACATCCTCTTATACCATAAAAAGTAAGATCATGTAAAATAACCGTAAGTATAAACTCTGCTCTGTAGGAAATTGTCGGCCTCCAGGATGTGTGAGGGCTTGGCGCTATATAATTCTCTTATCCAGTCTCTGACACAACGTTACATACCTGTCTGCCAGTTAAGAAGAGATTATCGAGATTATCACTAATGGATAAACCATTATCATGCCAGGATTACCCTTCGAGGTTACGAGTCACTAAAATAGTGTCAACTTAAACATACTTTTAAGCCACAACATGCATACCAGGGCTACCCATAACGCCCACTAAACACTAAAAATTCACCCAGATGCAAACGTCTTATATCACGTGTTTAGTTTACAGATAATCTGGTTCCGCTACAAAAAGATAGGAAACGAATTCGGATTTGAGATAGGGAATTAGGACCCGTAAATATTTTAGATGTTTAAAAATAGTAGTTACCAGAATACTTTGATCCTGGGTTTGAGAACTATAAATTTTCTGATGCAACACAATGCAAAAATGTGTGTATTTTAAAGTCAGTCGAGTTTTGTGTATAAAAACTACTTCACATAAAGATTTCAACAAACACATCCATTACACAAAACATGCATTCTGTGCCAAAGTTACATTCCACCGTTACAGCTGAAATGACCTTATGTCTTAATATATAGAAGAACAAGTAACCATTCTTCATATCACATAATTTCTTGACGATGCTATATCTGATAGCTTATACGTATACACAGAATTATTCTGGAAATTTGATTCATAACTTGAAACATTACCCACGATAAGTCAGTTTAAGGTTATTACCGTAGTTAGGGTTCACAGACAAAATGGTGGGCTCAAGTTACAGCTTTCGCATTCAAGACGATAGTGTATTGGTAGTTTGTGTAAGAGTTCTCGAAAGGGTGATAACTCTGCATTGACATACTAATTCAATAAGACTATATTTCTTTAAGTACAAAATTAAATAAATAGTTCAATCCAGTTCGAACCGAGACAAAAATAGCATAGAAAAATGAACAAGAGTTCGAATTATCACAATCATATTGACTTCATGCATTGTCAAGCCACGGCGCATCATTAGGTTCATTGAGCTAGTCGACTATACGTCTGGCGTGATAGTCGCAAGATATCAAACACCAGGCGATGACATTATCATCTTCATAATGAGTCACAGCGGTATCACCCGATAGAAATCCCAAAACAGTATATCAATATACCTAGTGTACTATTCGAGTTTTTGGTTTTTTTTCGATTGGTTCATGACCATCCTTCCTCTTCATAACAGCTACAGATGATTTGTCACCAAGTCGATGTCCATCTGAATGTGGTTCTGTAGCGAGCTGTTCTCCAATAAGTGGTGTCCAATTTACTCTATATACACGTGGTTCGTATAACTAAGGCTGTGTTGTCATTAGGTATAAATGTATGCCACCAGATTTCGAAATAATCTCGAAAGTATCACCATGAAACGAATCCAGGATTAGTGTAACAAAGCGGACAGCAGAGAAGACACTAAAGAATGGAGAAACCCATCGTCTAACCAAATTCCGTCAAAACGACCTATTTGCCTACATTATTAGGTTACAGCATATTAGGTGCAGACTGTCAATGATAAAAATTGATATTTTCCAACACACTTTTGTCTATAATTGTACGATGGGGTGAAAGTGATCACATAACATAACCACAGACTATAACAAGTTGAACAGGGAGCATACGTACACGGGATATCGTTGGAGATGCAAATTACTATCTGGGCAATGTTCTCGTTATAAGGCCACGTGGTTTATAGAATCGACCATTACGTAACAATAGAGAATGATTCATGTAACGACTTAGGAACCTTTTGTTATACCCACCCAACAGTGGCACTGAACACAAAAAGGATCCCACTTGATAAAAAAATGAAATTAAGAATGCTTTTGATAAAGAAGTAGCATGCCAAACTAATGCACAACAATCTTGATGGGATTGTTCCTGAAACAGTAAACACTCATATTGCTAATTTGAACAGGTCGTTGTTGGTGTATTGATGGATCGGAACAAAAGTGCATACGTCATTTAACTTGGGCGTGTCTAGTGGCAACATAGTACCCAGGGGTCGAAATTCTTCATCATAATGATCATATTTGATGTTTTCCATATGTAAGGAGGAGCAGACAACTCTTTGGACACCGTGCATTACAGAGATTGCTATCAGCAAACAAAAGAATGAGAATCATGTACATACACAAGTAGGAAGGAATTTGGATATATCTTTACACCGCAGATACAATATTCCAATGTCAAATCAATGCCGGCTGTCAGTTAATGGAGGGCGGCTTTGCTTTTAATATTTACTTATTTCTACAAAGATAGGATATTATTTCATTAAGAGCGAAACAAAAGAGCTGACTTTTCTATTCACCCTATAGTGAACGCGCAGATATCATTAATGAATAACATTTAACATACACCAGTTTACATCATATTAGAGAGCCAATAAACTGATTACAATATCCAAAATAGTAAAATAAAAATCGGCCTGCGTAGATCCAAATGGAAATTTAGCAGTCCAATGCATTTATGAATCATATTTAATGAGTTAGTATCTGCGATCGGGAAATCTTATTGAAAGAAAATGACTGGATCAGATGATTTGAAAACATGTCAAAATTGTTTCGATACCGCAGTAAGTTAATGAAACAAAAAAAAGAGAGATCGGCTTAATAAATCTGGATTATAATTGATTTTAATATTTCTAATGGAAGTCATGTACCTAAGCAGCTTTGCAAATATTACAAAGAAAATAGCATGGAAGTATCAACGATGATATTGTAACATTTTCACCGAAATCACTAAGCATGCCGTCTGCCAAGGTTAACATTAAAAGATACAAAGCCATGTGCTATATTATCCAGCTGTAACGACGTCAATACGTGTGTTGGTCCATATCTCCATCAAGATGGTTTTCAACCTTGACTTTTTCCTTAGATATGGTTGATAATGGCACTAATATTTCACCCCGCGGCGGATGTCAAATATACCAGGCAACCCCTACTGAGATAATAGTGTGTCATTCATATCTATTTTT